CTATTTTGCAAAATAGTTCTTACACCAGCATCATGCCAAACATATTGTATCATTTGAGGAATGCAGCTATTTTGAGCAGAAAGACTGGTACTTGAGAAAGTGAGTGACACTGGTGAGAGCAGACAGATGTTTACTGATTCTGTTGTCATATGCAAAACTGTTGGTGCATGTTCAAAGCAGCTTTCTGAAGATGTGCCTCGTGTTATCTTAACATCAGTAAACAGCAGCCTAATGCATTTTCCTGTTTGTTGTGACTTGCTTATCTAGATCCTCTATATATTCCAGGGACACAGTTACTAAATTTGAAGCTGCAAACAGGTTTGTTCTCTTGACATGCTTGCAAGAAACGTTTAATTTTACACTGCAATTTTCAAATATTTTTATATATTCTGGCTAGGTAAAACAGTAAGAAATTAGTGTAACTCAGTGCTGAATTAATGACTTGACTAGCTCGCTAGCACAAGCTCTTATTTTCCTCTTTATCAGCTCTTGGGCCAGACATTTTGGAAGAATTTAATCAAAATCCTCATCAAAAGCCAAATGAGTGGATTTTAAAGAAAGTTTAATTACAGTGGTCAAACCACCCAGCACGATTTGCTTGATTTGATTAATGTAATGAGGAGCTCATTTAATGAGAAATGCATTAATTCATTCAAACAAGTGGTTTTATCAGTGGTATTAAGCATCAACCCAGATTATGTACAGCAGAAATTATTATAGCAAAAATTGACCGAGGTCAAAGCAGTAGTCATGCCATAATTACAAGCTCTCAGCTGTAATCTACCAGTTGAACTTGGGTAGTACTTGTCCGGCACGAAAAAGCAGGGTGCCTATTTTAAAAAGCCCCCAAACCACAGGGGTTTGCTCCAATTCCTCAGCTGGGGTCTCCATACCTTTTGTTCAGATGTTCAGAAGATTTGGGAACTGGGACTGAATTCCTCGAGTTTCAGATGGCTACACATGCAGACACTAGTAGCAAATGACAAAGGGAGAGCTCAAAGGAGCCCTTATACCACCCCAAACCCTTAAAGGAAATGGATGTTCTTCATTTGCTCTCTGTTTTACCTCTCTCCCATCCCTGCGATTTTCGAAACCTGGAACACAGTGACTTTGGGGGAAAATTAGTATTTTACTTCTGGTGAAGGAAACCTCCTTGGAAAAGAAGAAAAATTGGCCTCAAGTAGGAAGTATTTGATAAAAAGAAGAAAGAGTCTCCTTTACATCTTGTTCTCTTCAACTACATTCTTAGATACATTTCACACTCTATATTTCAACTCCCCTGTTTCAGGCCCCCTGCCTGTGAGCTTCAAACAGCACCCATCACCTGCATGCTTCTCTGGTGACCCCTGCTATATCTGCCAGCAGCTGCCAATGCTCTTCTCTCTCCTATGCTGCCCTGACCCCCGTTACCTCTTCAACTTCTGCCATGCTGCCTTGCCTTTATTCAGTTCATGACTTGTTATTCCTGCAGCGTCTGCAGTACCCCTGTACGAGCTGCCTTTCCTGCTACTTTATACTGGGTCCGTATAGCACTGAGACTTCTTTGATTTTCAAGTGTTCTACTTCTAAGCCTGTTTGGCTACCAGAGCACTTTCTAAGCACTGCTGCACAGCGGACTTAAGCAGTCTTTTCTCAGCTACCACCAGCACCTGGTAAAGGAGACAATATTTAAAACTGTTCCCCAAGTAGACAGAAGGCTGGTCAAGGAGCTGAGAAGTGGAGCACAAGCCCAGTTGCAGACAGGATGCTCTGTGGGTAGACGCATACTGACAAGTGAAGACTGGCGTCATCAGGAATATGACAGTAAGACACTACTATTAGGGTGCCTAATGAATGTAAGTACCAAGGTTCATCTGCAGGTTGGGAAGTTTGGATCAAGATCTTCAAGAAATAAGCTGAAGTAGAGAACTAGAGATGTCAAAAAATAGACCTAAGGATTTATTTGCCACATTAATAGAAAATGAGCAATAAAACCATTCATGCTGAGCTAAAAATATAATCCTTAGGATCATTTCTGCTAGTGGCCTTTAAACCACAAGGAAATGAGTAAAAATTGGAATTGGAGTCCCTTGATTTTAGAGAAGTCCTGGGATCTGCCTATATCTGACTGCTGCACACCAACAGGAACCTGCAATATTGGCATATAAAGGGTCGCACAGAGGAAAGCATTAACAGTGATGACAGCAAGGCTGTTTGCAAGGTAAAGTCAACTCCATCTTGGAACAAGCAACCCAAATAGCATATACAGACTCTCTGCAGAAGCTGCCCCTTGATGTCACATTTAGTATCCTTGAGTGGAATCTACATAGGAAATCATAATACATAAATTGTTAGAAGATCTTATCTTAAAATACTTTTTCCCACTATCTCCCAGCCCAGCTTTCAAGCAAGCAACCAACCTTGCTAAACTTATCATCTGAAGAAAATTCCCAAAGACCAATATATCTGACTATATCAGTGATAAATGCAAAAATCGCAACTTATCTCCACAGACCTCAAAAGAACCATGACAAACAATGGATCCTCATAATATTCATCCCTGAATGCAAACTACTTCTTATGTATCATGTGCCCTCTGTACCATAGTGAACTCACACTGACAATCCCTTCATGAAAGAAAACAATGGTTAATAACAAAAACTTGTCTTCTAAAACAGTCATTCTCCTTCTGATCATTCAGCCTTCATCCTCAGGGGTATCCTACAAAAGAAACTGAAAAGACTAAGACAAGATTAAAGTTAATAATTTCATAGGACACCAAAAATTTTTGATTCTAACGACAATGCTAATTTTATGGCACATTACAATTTACCTCACATATAGCTTGCTAATCTCAGTTTCTCAAGAGATAATTACCTGTGCATTTCTTCCATCCTGTGTTCAGTAGAGCTGAAGACCTTATTACCTCTCCTCTTACTAACTTCCTCTGTTCCTTTCATCTCAAAATACCTGACTGATTAATATAATGAAACTGAACTCAGAAAAATTGCTTCTGATCTTTGCTTATCTTGCAGTTTGCTAGCTATGCCCCTGCTTCTGTTTTTTGCTCCTCGATCTTGTCTGACTTTTTCCTATTAGGTGTACTCTTAATAGATACTGCCTTTCTCCACACTTATTCCTTACGAGTGTTATGACTATTCCCTATTTACCAAAAAATCTGCCCAACCATTCTCCACTTTGAAAATATCAGGCATGGTTCCAGATATGGTTCCAGTTCTGACTCACAGATACCTTTTTGAATAGTTATATGGCTTTCTGTCTGGCATTATCTGAGCTCCCAATTGCTTGAAAGAAATATTTGGGCTTAGGCAAAGAATAGGAACACAATTAACTGGCCAAACATCAGTCACTATTTCTAAAAGGAAAGGAAACATTGTTAACTCAGATCTTTCTAAAATGAAAGTGAAATATGACATGGACAAGATTCGGGAATATGTTGTTCAACGTGGAGCAGTTATGTATTTCCCAATCCAGTCAGAGATGAAAATTTTTATTGTCACTTCTGTCTGATACTTCCCAACTAGTGAATTGGCCTTTGGCAATGCTCATTGCAATGATGTTGTATATTATTTGCTTCTCCCCTTTATCCATGGAGCTCAAAAACCACTTTACTTTTCTGCATTCAAATTCAGTAACTTTAAGCTGTAACACCTTGGGAAAGGTTAACCAGTATGTTAGGACTGAACTCAATATAATTTTGCCTATGGACTTTCAGTGTGCACGAATTAAAATATATGGACCTATAGTTTAATACATTTTAGGAAGTGTTAAATAAGACAGTACACAAAACTTTGAGGTAACATGAAGATCTACCATCTTCTGCCAAATGCCATACACTTCCTTGGACTTGCAGAAGTAGCAGGTATTATTCTGCTTGCACTACATGCAGTCCTTGATGCACACCTGGGAGTCATTCTTTGCAAGCATGTACCTGGATTTCACATCCAGGCTAGAATTTCTACACCCTTTTCCTTTCACTGAAAGGCATTTAGAGAAAATTCAAGACAGGATTAAGGAGAAGATTTTAAAACTTGTATTCCTCATTTTGTGAAGCTAGGAGTTATCTGTGACCCCAGTGACCAGAGAGACCTACCACCTCAGTATTACCCATGTAAAAAGTAACTGTTTACCCCATATGTTCCTGTCACCATGGAAAAGCTCAGGAAATATATGGAAAAGATTTTTTTCAGGTTCAGAGGAAAAGCAGGCCCTCTCATATCTTTCCCCTACTGAGATACAAACCAGGATCTTGCTCTGCTAAGCAGTAGGGAGATAATCTTCAGCATTGATATATGGGAACTGCTGATACAATGTAAATATTTGGTAAAAACAAAATATTTGCCAAGAACCTAAAACACTGTGTGCTTAAAGTAGCTCTCCATGCTGCCTTTCCTTAGCAAGGTGTACGAGGAAACGTGTACTCAGCTATCAGTTCCACTGCTGCCTCCTGAGAGATTGAACCTACAGTGCATTGTACCTACATCCCAATGAGCCGTACTTAATTCCCTTCTCCTCTTCTGCTGTGCCACTGCAATGAAAGTTTCTTGTAGAAACAGAGGTGCTTCTGGAGCAGTCAAACAGCTCCTGCTACTCATGAGCCAGTGTCTGTGGCACCTGCTGCGGGGCTGGTACCACCATCAGCTTCTTCAATGTCCCGAGGCACATGCTCCTGACTTGGCCGTCGGGTTTCAATGGCCAAGAGCCCACTACAACATCTCTTTGCACCACTGCAGATCTGCAGATCTCGGAGCCAATCATTGGAAGAAACACACAAATTCAGCTCAGTCAACCTCATTTCCCATCTGCGATCAGGTAACACGAGAGCACTGTTGAGGATGGTGTGGGGGAAAGGATGAAATGTGAAAATAATGTGAGACGAGGATGTCCAAGACGTTTGGTGATGGAAACAGTTTCCACCCTCCCAGGTGGCTGCCAGATCCCTCCTCAACAGCCCCAGGGGAGGGAGATGCGGCAGGAGTGCGAGGCACAGTGGCCCTTACCTTCTCGTTCTTCCTCTCCTCAGCTTTGCTGGCAGGTCCAGGGGTGACGGGGGCACACAGGGGCCCACTGCCCACCTCCCCATTGAGGTGGGCCGCGCTGACGTTGGGCGGGGTGATGGCGGCGGCGGCAGAGGTGAGGGGGATGAGGGGCCGGGCCCCTGGTGCAGGCGGCTGGTGGCCGTGCTGGGGGGACACGGCGGGGTGAGGCCGAATGGCGGCTGCGGGCAGGCGGGAGGGCGAGCTGGGCGTCCGCAGGGGTGACACGGTGGCGGTGGGTCGGTCCGGGGCTGGCACCGTGGGGTGGGCTGCAGAAGGAGGACAGAGCACGGTTAAACCCGCCTTGCACTGGCAGATCTGGCCCTTCAGTGGCCATCACTGCCACAAGGTGCCAGGGCCTGACAGAGATAAGCTCTTAGCCTTAACCCAGGATATCTCAGCCTGGAAGTGTTTGCAGCTAATTCCCTTCCAGGCTGCAAAAGGCCTGTCTGAAGTCACCAAAATTGGCTTGTCCTCCCCAGTGATGTGACTATCCCTGTGCATACTACCTTTTAAAAATACATTATCTAGTTCCAGCTGAGCTGTCTTCCAAACCTCCTCCTAACCTAATAGGTTTTAGAGCAATGCAACATGGGACCTAAAAGGTTAGCCCAGATGATCCAGGCTGACGTAGCAGACAGCAATTACAAAGGAAAGTCTCTTGTTTCAGCCCTAAAAAAATGATCAACAGCACATCACTGTGCTGCACAGGATAAATTAAGCAGAAATCCATTGGAGGATTTCTGAGCTCAGCCTCCTCTCTGCCAGCAGAGTCCCTAAGGGACTATGCAGTGCCTTTTAGTCTGGTTGCCCCTGCTAAGCAAACCCTGCCTGCAAGCAGTGGGAACCAGAAATTAGTGCTTGTCTGTTTAACAGTGACTGTGACACACTGCCAAGGTCAACCCTTCAGGGATTCCGGAGCCTGTTGCATGCCTCATGTTGCAAAATATGTGACAAAGCTCCAGGTCCATTTCCACAACTATATTGTCTATGACTTCCAGGTTGGTTGATTGCATAGACGTAACCTAAATACCACTCCACCTTAAGTATTTACAGCCTAGAAGTCAAGTTCACACCTAGACATTCCCTCACTTAAATGATTCAGTAATAGGACTGGCTGGAAAATGCCCATTTCATAAATGATTTCAAGGTTTCATAATCTTGTTTAGTTCTGTCTCAGTGCAAAATTTGAACCTTTGAACATTTTTCTGTGAACAACCTACTCACTCACACCACAATAACCTCTATTCTGGTCAGGTTATTCACCTGGGATGTGAAAACATAGGATCAGGTCACTGCACTGTTCTCTTCTGTGGAGAATACCTCTGGGAAGCTGTCAATTCCCTTTGCAACAGCACAGCTTTACGGTTGGTAGTTCTGTGGTTGAACTACATCCATTCCTGACAAAAACCGTTGAGTTCAGCAAATCAGCTTTTCTTTGACCAAGATGTATTTTACTGGAAAATTTCTGACCCACTTTGATCTGTGGTTTTCTTACAAGTTCATCTGAAGGATGCATTTTTATGCAGCTGGAATTCACTCAATCTATAACTAAACAACAATGCTAGAACAACCACTATTTTCTGTTTCTGTGGTAAAGAGTGGCACCCTTACCAGGGATTGAAATGAGACAATGCCATTAATCATACTCACTACACCAGCTGAGCACTCCTGGCAGGAGGGAATTTTCATCCCCCAGTCTTATGTCCTATTATCTGAAGCAATACTGAACATGATGGGCCAGTGACCATCAGATTAGTACCTCTCAAGTTTGTATGATTTTCCCTCACAGCAGCTTCTTGATTTTATAACATCTCTTTTTACTAATGTTGCTCATAGCAAATGAAACTATCATTAACCAGTCTGTAACTTGATGTGATTTTATCATGTAGCATCAGGAAGGCCCTAAAAGTTGTTATTACAGATACCTTCAAGACTACTATCACTGTTAGTTACCATCTCCCCCTCCTTGAATTACCAAGAACATACACTGAAAGTGCAGTTCAATTCCAGAGAGCCAGACAGGGCATCACTAGTTATTTTGAAGCAATTCACTCCTGATTTTCCCATTTGGAACCTGTGTGATGAGCAACCACTGCTATCAGAAATCTGATTTTCCAGGACAGTTAAGCTTGTAGGGTCAAAGTTTTGAATTACTGTTTGTAGGGAGCAATGGCTTTCCTAGATTTAGAGCAAAAGCACACTAATGGAATATCACTGCATGTACCTGGGTGCAGAACCCTGATTTGGTAATATTAGGTACAATACTTTCATGTAGGACTTGGTGTTTCCACACACAAAAAGGAAACAGAAAATATAAGAAACAGTAAAAGAAATGGCCTAAGAAAAATCAACTCTGAGCAGAGCTCTTATATTTTATTCTGTAATTTTATCTGCTTACTGTTACAATGTATGCCTTTGCTCTGGATCTCTGTATCTGGACTGTGCTGCATCAAACATGCTATTAATTAGCAATGCTCACTGAAGGCTATTTTTGTTCTACACCACTCATATTTCATTTGGGGTGTATTCCTACATTAGTGGCCTTGTGCAAAATTGATTTGTTACTCATGTATATTGCAAGCCAACAGAAACGTGATTTGAATACTGTGCCAGCTTGCCTCTCTTGGAAAGCTTTTGCAAAAGTCGGTGCACTGACCTGTCCTGCAGGACTAAAGGGACCTTTTGAGGGGCTCTGATCCACAGGATACTGGTAAGGAAATCCATTACAGAGAAAATTATTGATAATCATGAAAATTTCCTTTATTTATCCTGGAAAAGGTTTATTTAATTAAAATAAGAATCTCATGAACCTTCTGGAAGGGTTGGAGAACTCCCTGTTACGAGGTTTTGAAACAGTTCTGTGGTCCCTGGATCACCCTGCCTGCCAACTCCTTGGCACTTGAGAAGTGTCGTAGTGACCTGGAGGAGCAATCTTAAATCAGGGAAGCTGCTGGATGTGTAGTACAGCAGCACTGCGGAAGAAAGCTATGGGCATGCCAGGTCTCTGGGGCAAAACAATCCGTCACCTCAGTTTCAGGGGAGTCAGGAGGGCTCAGGAGGCACCAGGAGCACCTGAACAGTTCCTGAGAGCCTCACCTAAAAGGGGACATTTTTGGCTCGGCACTGTGGGAGCAGAAGGGCTTTTGGAAGGGTGTGACTTGAGGGGTAAGCAGCACTTTCTGAACTAAACAAAAAGAGGATAAATTGATTATCCCCCAGTGTGACATGGATACCATGTAAAGCACTGTTTGCTGAGCAGAGGAGTCCGCGCTGTTCGAGATTCAGATTCACATGTATTTGATTATGTTTTCTTCCCTTTGGTCTGGACTGTGTAGGAGGTGAGATTAGATGGTCATAATGGTGCCTTCTGGCTTCAAAAGGTATGAATCCATGACTTACTTCACAGGGTATTTCTCATTTGTGCTTGCTCTGTTTTATATCTAAGACCTCAGTTTTGAGCAGTCACAGTTCTTACTGATCTGCCTTTGCAAACACAATGGTTCACATCCCTATACAATATCAGAAACAAAATGTTTTAAATTTTGCTAAAAAGTTCCTCCCCAGGATTTACTTTTACTTTATTCAACATCAGAGGCTGTTTAACATCAGGGAAAGGGGAATAAATTGTACTCTAGAAAAGTGTGCTGTACATCAGAAAGGGAACCTAGAAAGAACAGAGGCCCCCTGGTGCAAGAAGCTCTTATTTTCACTTCAAAAGGTGGCAGCATTTTTCAGATCTTTTTCTTTATCACTAGCACTGGGTCCCATTCTGCCTAATAAATACCTTTCATCCCTGAAGCCCAATGAAATACTTCTTAATTTTAAGGCATGTATTACTTGCCCTGCAATACAGGCAGTATTTTTCTGTCAGTAAGCCAACTGGACTCAGAACTGTTAATCTCCCCAGGATGCAGGGTGCTTGCTTTCACTCAGATAAATTGTATAAATATTTGTAAACACTCTAATCTATTTCAGCTGTAGCAACAGAACAATCTGATAAACACAACGTGGTTCCCAGAGATCAATAGAAACCCATAAATATTACAAGCAAAGAAAACATACTCTATCCCACATTGACTGAGCTGTGACTAAAACGAGAAAGAAAGCTGTGGGGACAGGCAAGTTCTAGAGGCTTGCCTGTTCGAGGGGTAAAACATCAATCCTCCCTACACAGGGTGAGAGGCACTGATGGCTGTGCACTCACCTATCTGCATGGTGTTGCGGGGCTGGCTGGCTGGCTGCTGAGCTGAGTACCGCAGGCAGTTATTCAGCTGTGGAGAGGCTGCCTGCAGCTGGGGATGCGTCTGGGGAGTGGTGATAGGAACAACTGGTCTGACAGTTGTGGTGACATTGGTGTGACTGGCCCCGATGGGGTGGATGGCTCCTGGAGCTACTTTTGTTGTTGGAACTCCTCCAGCTCCGCTGTTCCTGGGCTGCCCAGCTCCCACTGGCACCCTGTATGGAATCAAGGTACAGCGTAAGCATGCTGCAGAGACCCCAATACCCAACCACAGTGCTGATAAGCACCCCCAGTTACTTAGGGGTTTTAACATGATACTCTATCAGTTATTAAAGTAAACTGAGATATAGATATACATTTATCTTTATAGAGCCCAGTCTTAAGCATGCTGGAGGACATTTTCACCCCTTTATCCTACAGGAAGAAGTGCAGGGTAAAAATGGAAAAGATAATTTATCTCATCACTTTTTTATTATGCTACATTTCTGTCTGAATAGCTTCTAGTAAAATCACAAATCTTAATTCAGAGGAAATAAGTATCTCCCAAATGTCATTTTGTGTGCCAGAGGCTATTTCACACGGAGTGATAATTAAAACATACTCAAGAGATCTTTTCTTGGGACCAAACCTGCATACAGCCCTATGGGGAGAAACAAGGATGGATAATGCCAAATCTGTGTGTGGCTATTGAAGGGGACTGAGAAGCAGCAGACTTGACAGGGCTTGGCTTGGCTGAACATTTACCCTGTTGATGTAACCAGCTCGAGCTTAGACTTGCTAAGGGAATGCAAAAGGGAAGGGAATGCAGCTGACCTGAATGAAAAAGAAATCCAAACAGTAATCGACCCCTCTTTCATTTCTTGCTTAAACTGTATACATAATCTGTATTTCATCTGAGTGGCCAGGTAGACCTCAGAGGAAAGGGACGAGGCTCATTCTCCCATATGATGAGTTCAGACTACAGCATGTCTTGATCCTCTTACCACTGAGCTAGAAACTCTCTGACCAAGACAGAAGGACACTGTGGAGAACAGAAGGACACCAGTGGACAAACTCAGACGCTGCTCAGCAGCTCTTTCTCTGAGTTTCTTACTCAGGTTCCTGAATAATTTCAATGCCCAGCAATAAATGCCATGAAACAGAGGGGTCATTTTGTGCTGTTCTTCTCTCTCGGGCTGCTCCTTGTGTGAAGGTCCTCCTCCAGGAAAGGACAGCACAGGGATATGAGGCAGAACAAAGCAAGATGAAGGAAATGGAAATGTGACAGTGCAAGGGATTAGCAAGGGAGGAGAGAATAACAGAAAAAGTACAAGAGCCAACTACAGGAGGTGGACTGGGAGAACTTCTGGGTCCCCAAGATTGTTGTGTGGAAAACAGAGAGGAGAAGATCAGAAGGAAGGAGTATGCTGAACAATCTGGTCTGATTCAGAGGACATGAATGACAGAATAAGTAACCCTAAGAAAAGAGTAGAAAAGGGAAGAGACAAAAGAGTGACAGAAATTCTGATAGAAAAAGACCAACACACAGGCTGGAAGATATGGTCCAAAAGTGCAAAATATAGCTATCCCTTCTGCCCAGTCCTCCCTCCCCCAAAACCACAAGAGGAAAGACAACACTGTGTTGTCAGTGACTTGACTCATCTCATGGTGCAAGGTTTACCTGGAATACATTTTGCTAAATGAATCTGAATTTTTTTTCTTCAATTTTTTTTTTATAAACCTATAGATTGGGAAAAACTGGGAATCCCACCAGATGGAAATTTTGACTGTCTGTCATCTGCTATGAAGAGCTGGCAAGATGGCAGGAAGGTTCAGCTGAGCTGACTTGGCCATCTGCACTAGACTGAGTTTGCCAGAAAAGCACACCTAACAGTCCACTGAGAGCTGTGGTCAGGCAAACATGCATGCTGACAGGTACAGAAACTCTGTGAGTCCCACAGAGATGGATAGATGTTGGATGTGGCAAATTTCCTCTGCTGCCCTTTACATGTCTGTCCATCTAAAGAGTCTTGTTCTTTTTCCACCACAGTCTGCTCATGCATGTTTTGGCAGCCTATAAATCTAGTTCAGTGTTATTAAATTCATGGACAACTTCTTTTCCTTGGGTTTTGTAAGGAGCAGCAGAAACACATGTATGAATCTGATCTTCTTTGCTGTCAAAGGACAACAAAATATGCTGAAAGTGCAGCAAATAGGAGGTTTTGTTGCTATCAGATTTTTCATGCTCTTCTCCCTAAGAGCGATTTGCACGGGAACTTAATTAGCTCACAGGATCATAAATATAATCATAAAGCTGCTTTCGGGTTTTGTGGAAAGCACTTTTGCCCTTTAGCACTTCTCTGTCTTGTTCTAGCTGTGACATGCTGCATTTAATAAAGTCTTGCTGATTCAGATCACCAACCCTTCAGCACAAACTTCCTTACTAATTAAAAGCTGAAGAGGCAAGGAGTAAAGGCAGCCAAGGAGCTCTATAAAATAAGGTAAATACATTTAGGTTGATGAACTGTGAAGAACCAATGAATTAATATTTAGGGTTTTTTTACCGAAATGCAAGATTAGGACTGTCAGCAGGCTTAGCTATCTTCTAATCTGCTCTAAACTTTTGGTAGTGCTCAGCCCACATATTACAGACTTGACATAAACTGTAGATGGAACAAAGCTGGATCAATTTTTCAAGATCAACACTGTCTGAATTGTGAAGTGCCTTTCCCTGGCGAGGAGTGGAAGATGGTGGAGACAGTGTACATGTGGGAGGAGGGACTGAGCATATGAAAAGCAGTGAGCTGAGTTTGCAAATCCACAGTTTGTCTAAAGGAGACATGGGCATACATATGGCACCATTCACCTGCAAGGAGTATGTGGGGCAATCAGTCTGGGACACAGCGATGAACTTTCTTCTCATCTTTCAGACTATTTCAGAGTGGGCTCTAGATCAGAAACAACCTTTGACTTGGTGTTCTCCAATACCAAACTCTGAAAAATGGCATTGCTCCCCAAAACATGCTATTCTTTCCTTTTCTCATCTTCTGCAATGGAGATGGGTAGCTAAAATCAGACAATTTACTGAACTCTCCTACCACTTCTGAATTTTAACAGTTCAACCATTAGTCCAGATCCAAACCATTCCAGGTCTTTGCTTTAAGAAAAACAAAATCTACAAGAGAAGCTACTGAAAAGCAAGATGCAAGCATTTCTTATTTTGTTACATGTCCAGTAGTTTTATAACAACAACAAAGTGTTTAGCCAACAGATTCTTTACAAGAGTAAAACCTAGGCTTATCAGAGGTTATAAATGCCATCAATCCAATACAACTACTGCAATCTCCTGAGGACATGGATAACTCCAATGCTACAACCAGCAAGTCTCATTACTGAAGTCTGCAATGCCACCAGAAAATTTCTGGAAGGGAAATGTGATTTCAGAGCAGAGCTATGTTGTTTTCAGTGTCCTCCAGATGCAGAGAACTCAGCCCCAGTCCAGGCCAGTGGTCCTCACCTTGAGACAGGTGTCACATAGTTGCCTGGGAAGACACCGGACATCCCACTCCTCAGAGATGTCCCCTTGAACCAGCCGTCCTGGCACTTCTCGATGACCCGGTACATCTCACCTTTGCGGAGCTCCAGTTCGTCGTTCTTCTGGGGCTTGTAGGCATACAGGGCTAGGTAGCTGTGGGGAGAGGTCATACAGGAAGAGAACACAGATGGCATCAACCACCACTTGTCCCGCTCCAACTCCAGTCCCACAGAGCAGAAAGTGAGCAGAAGCAATGTTAAGAAATTGGGGTTGAAAAGGGACATCATTACAGTATATCAAACAAGGAAGGGCAGAGACTGGATTCCAAGACAATAAGGGAATAACTAATCAGAGTAAAATAGGCTGTAATTTAGAAATTGATGAGACATACTTCTCAGTCAGGGCACAACCAAAGCGAAACACTGCCACACAAAGCAGCACTGAAGTTAAGGACTTAGCAGCAGTTGCAGAAAGACAAGACAATTACAGAGACAGCCAGAGCAACAAGGACTAGAGTAAGAGGGCTTTGCAAAGCCTAACATTTGGATAAAGCATATATTCATATGCTTTAGGGAGGGACCCTATTGTGGAGTTTCAGAAGAAACTTTTCTTATGGGTAGGCTACTTCAAAAGCACTTACGACAGCTTTACTTGCATCTTTCTCAACACTATTTATGCTGGCCAAGTTTAGCAACAACACACCAAACTGTTCTGATATGGTATGGTAGTTCTTGTACCATATGGGTAAAACAAAAGTGACAGAGGGACAAATTCTGTAAGGGGCTTTTCATTTCAGTAGGTGAAGTGGTAGAATTTGGCTTTAGGTGTTTTGCATGCAAATATTCTAATAAATCTTTAATAATGATCCAATATGTAGAACTTTTTATTTATTTAATTATAGCTTTTATTTATTCCCTTTGTTTAGAATCTTTCTATTTATCTCTCCTTTGTTCTTCTGTTACTACTTCAGGGATGTGTCTAGCGTTGTAAAATGACTACAGCTTAAAGTCCCTAAAGATATTCTCTCTGTTTAAAGAAATCCTTGTTGAAAATTAAAAATGATTGCTTGCACTTTGGGAAATAATGGAGAGTTGGGATAGAACAGCAAGAGTGCACACACAGAACAACATTTTCTTTGTAAATACTGGTGGTTTTTTTTTTTTTTTTTTGTTATGTAGCTTTTCTACAGATGCAGAAAGGGATTTCTGGTAATTCTTGATCAAGGTTATGCCTTCTTGAGTTTTTCTTTATTTATTTGTTCTTTACAGACAGTGAAGAGAGATTAAGACGAATGGGAAAACACTTACAGAATGTGCATTTACACTACAAAGTGCAGCAGAATACTCTTAGGCTCAGGGGTGGGTGAGAAAAGGCTCACTGCCCACCTTATAGCAGTGAACCAGAGAAATAATGAAAACTATAACCATCGCGATTGCAGATTTTCAGCCAATAAAAATGATACATGACCTTTTACTTCTGCTCTCCGGGAAATACAATTCAGGAATAAATCCTGTTAGTTTTTTTGATTCTACTCCTTTACTGTATCAGTAGATTTTTTTATTTTTATTCTGAAGACAGTAAATAAACAGCAGTAATGAGCAGAATATGAAATATTGGTAGCAGCTCCTAGGGGAATGCTTAGGCTGATGTGCCTGGCTCTGTTTACCACGCGCGTGGGGTACGAAGACCAAATCAGAAACTGTATTTCATTAGTCAACAGATGGGAGGAAACACCCTGCACATCCTTTGTTTAGCCTATGTAATCAGGTGGTCTTGAGCAGGTCTGTAGCTGTTTACACAATGGAAAACATGAGGCTACATATGAACTGAAGAACATCAGAATCTGTCACCCTGACAAGAAATAAGGTTGCATGCTTCGGTGCTGATCTTTCAGCACTGCACTCTGCAAGGACATAACAGAGAGTGCCAGACTGCAGTCGAGGGAGCAGAAAGTGTGGCTTTGACTACCACTTTTGAAGTTGCTGCTTACGCAGGGCTCAGATTCAGAAGCTATGGGTAAGGCAGGGGGTCAAGGACAGAGCATTTTAGATAGACTCACTTAGCCTTTTTCCCCAAGCGGTTACATGTAATAATGTAATTTACAGGTGGAGATGCTGGAAGAAGGTGCAAGGAAAATTACCCTAATTGGATCACAGGCTGTTGTGCCTTGCAGCTATATCTAGCTCTCCTACTAGCTTCTTTCTGTTCTCTCCTACTAGCTTCACCCTGCAAATTCCCCCAAATCAGCCACCACTAAATCTGAATATCCAATATCACAATAAGCCTAAACATTCTCTGGATAGAACAGAGACTAAAAGAAGGTTTACAACAGCCCAGCATGGACACCATACCAAAACAGACCAATCTCTGTACGGCTAAAGTGATGAAAGCTTGTATGTGATAAGCAAATATGGTGACCCTGGGACAATGGAAGTGGTCAGGGCTTTCTTTGTGGACCAGCAATCCCACCACCTATGTGGGGCAGTGAGGATGTCTATCCCTGGGGGTGTCCTCTGTTAGTTGCAAAGAGGCAAGGGGTTCTCCAAACCCAGTGACAGGCCCCGCCTGGGTCCATTGCCCCACCCTATGGGGACAGGCATATGCTCCATGTGTTGGCAGAGAGCGGGCTGTGGAAGAGCTGGCAGGATGCCTGCTCTTATCCATGGCTGAAAACAATTTGAGCGCAGGCAGCTTCCCTCACCAGCAAGTGTTTCTGGGTTTTTCCTCTGGCAGGAAATCAGGTCTAGCAGTCCCATTTGCTGAGGCTGACTTTGACTTAAGCCAAAGTCTTTGGACTCAGACACATTTCACTATTCTCTAGATTTTAGGTGTAAAACTTCACCACCTAACTCCCTACAACCTAGAAGAAAGTGTTAAAACAATGAAATCTTGCAAAATGCAATATCAAGTTATTCTGAGATATATGAAACAGTGAGGCTAAGGGTTAGGGAGTGGGACCTAGAAGAAACTAAAATGTTTATTAGAAGTTCCCTAAAAAAAAAGTTTAAGTGAGAAGGTAGTTTATGTTCTTGGACTTGGGGATTTGCCTGTGACTCTACTTATAATGCAGAAGCCCCGGGGCTCTGTCTAGGTTGCACCTCCCCACTACTGCTACAGCTTTCAAATAACACATCCTCTTTGACTGGAACTTGGCTCGCAAATGCAAAATGACAGACTGGATTACAAGGCTGCTTCACAAGGGAGATGACAGAAGCACAGGAGGGAGAAAGGGAGGGTTGCTGAGGCATGGACTCAGGGGCATTGCCACAGAGCTGCAAAATGTCCTGATTCAGCAACTAAATACTGGAAATATTGCCAGTTACTGCTTCCTAGTCAGGGCAAAGTTTGAAATAAACTTGTGCCCCACTATGTGCCATGCAAGCTGCACAGGGTGACTACAGGATGATGACGAGACCTCTCTGTGGGGCATTCAGTGATGTTTGGTACCTCTCAGGTATAAAGATCTCAACTTAGTAGCCAAGAAGAAATTTGTTTGGTTCTGTTCCAACAATAGGGGGTATTGTTCTTAAAGAATATTTCCTATGTTATTTTTAGGATTTTATTTGTGAATTCAGACCTCGCTTTAGCCATATCATAAAGCCCCAAAATGTGGGTGTGCATATGTGTATATGTCTCTATAGTTGTCTTGCTTTCACAAGGCATATGTGCTGAGAGGAAAGGGTTCAGTAGTTTAACTAGACAGGTATCAGATAAAACAACCAGACTAGTAGAAACTTAATGAAGTCTACTTTTTTTTCTGTATCTAATAAACGTTCTGTTATTCTACACACTGTTCAATAAGCCCATATGCCCAAGATATGAAGTTCATTCATTGCCTTTGTTCATTCACTGTTTATGGCACTGAAAAAATGCAATTGGGTAATTTTTTTCTGGTTAACGATGAATGTATGGGGTGTTTAATTGCATGGGACCACACCTTTATAAGAGCTTTAAATGAAGGAAGATCTTCTTTAGCTGCGAGGTGTTCAGTTTGCTTCACTGTGGTTCGTACAGCTATAATATTTAAAGTCTAAAAGAGCTCACAGACAAAGGGGGTAGTCTTGCCTTTTTCTACTAATTTTTCAATTTCAGAAGAGGCTGCCTCATGTATGAAATTGCAGTCTCTCTCTTCTCAGAATGCTCCTGAACTGAGATTTGGGCTTTCGGATTTTAAACACACACACGCACGCACGTGCACACATGCACATACAATTGGAAACAAAAACAACACAGTGACTGAGATGAGCTGCTTACATATTGAGGGGGAGCTGGACCTTCGGTGGTGTTCCCTGATCTCCAATTATTGCACTTGTCCTGGGACCAGCCACTGTGGCTGTTCCAATCAAAGAGGAATCCTGAAAATACACAAAGAACACACAAGGATTTAAGATGAAGCCCATCGTTTCCTAAATTGCTATGGGGTGAAGGCACAAAGGAAAAAAAACATATATTTTATTAAATTCTCAGATTTTCTAACTTCATGATACTGCATTAAAAAAGACATCTTTTAGCCTTACATATTCCAAGAATATATTTCTGACACAAAGGATATCAGGTTATTAGCAGAATTTCTACCTGTCAGAGAAATTTTAGTTGTATTTTATGTGCAGATCTTAAATGTTTTAGAACACTAAACTACTTGACTATTTTGTAAAATCAGCTCAAAATATGCATCTCTGCAATAGTACCTTCTCTGATAAAGGTAATCTTTTCCCTTCAAAAACTTGTTTTTTAAATCAGTACTTTTTTGGCTAATGGTTATGGATCTATGGAGAAGAAGATACTATTCAATTTCCAAAATGCAGTCTCATTTCTATATATTGTTTTTATCATCATGAATATTATTCTCATTAAAAAAAGGTGACTATACCACCCACAACGTAACTCTGAATGAAGAAAGTAGTAAACTGCACTTTTACCCCAGAAAATAAATCTCCACTCTCATACAGACAACTGGGCAGATCTTCTCCTGCTATTAATGTGAAAGGCAATTCTAAATGTAATCATTCATTTCTCAAAGCTTAATGTTCAGCCAAAGTATGTAGGGCAAACTCTTTTGAGATGTCTCACCAAAGTCCTCATTCATCTACATCAAAAATGAATCTTGACTGGAAACTTCTCCTGAAGTAATGCCAAGGCCTGTAGCAACAAATCTTCACTGCAGACAGGGCAGAGCTGGGCTGATGGGACTTGGTTTACTTGAGCAAAAAGCTTTTTTGGTAAATCTAACCAAATACTGTATGCACATCCATATGCAGAATGGCTCTACAAAGTAGGAACCAAAGTTTACACACAAGTTGCAGGTTCACGCAGAGCGCGGTACACACAGCAAAGATTCTGAGCAGTTCATAGGCCTCCAGTGCAGCTTTTCTGTTTCCAAATTCTATCTAACAAACAGTAATTAATTGATTTTAGGAACACAAACATAGAGGCATTTTTTGCTTTTACAAATGACACTGAATTAAACCAAGACATTGAGTTAAACCAAGACACACATTTCTCCTTAATTATTGGATTTCAATGTTACCTCATTCTAAAGAAGCCCACATAATTATTACAGTATTCTGTCTTGACAGTGCATTGCTAAGTTTTATTGCTTTGCTGTGTATGAACATAGTATCATTAGGAAATTGTGCAGCAAAACATGAAGACACTGCACTGTGATTCCATAGCTTTTGGCAAAAAACCAGATGTCTCATCTCTCACCAGCACCTCCGCTCAATCATGAAGTTGCAGTGACAAGTACAGCTCCTTTTTCTCATTATTTCCTCTAACGTTCTGGCTGCTTGCTCAAAGAAAGAAGGATCCAGGTAGCTCTTAGTCCTACGTGAAAAGTAAGCGTTCTTTCCAGTAACTAAGGCTTTGTTAATACTGCCTGTCAGTGAGATAATATCAACTTACAGAAAAAACACAACAACCCACTAAAAAATTTAGGGGTAGCTGGAGAATGATCCCTCATTTGTTATTTTGAGCTGGTTAATGGGGTTAGGGATTGCGGAAGATGCTGGGCTGAGACACCTGGCAGCTGCCTCATCCAGAAGGTGAGAAATTAACTGGTTCAAGCTCCTTCATCTCATGCCACCACTGCATGCCTGCTCTGAGCTAGAGAAACTGTCTCTAAGAAAACAGAAAATGCATCAGTCCCCACCCTTTCTCACTAGGAAAAATAATTTTGGTTTTACCTCATGAAAAAAACAGACCTGAATTAACAGCCTCAGGGTGCAACTGTAAAGACAGAGAAGATCACAGCAGGATAGAATAGGACAGAAAGGGATGGAATGGAATGGAATGGAATGGAATGGAATGGAATGGAATGGAATGGAATGGAATGGACTAGACTCGACTAGAACATTGTGTTGGAAGTGACCTGCAACAATCATCTAGTCCAACTCAGTCCATCTGACCACTTCAGGGCTGACAGGTTTGAGGCATCAACCACCTCTCTAGGAAGCCTGTTCCAGAGTTGACCACCCTCTTGTAAAGAAATGCTTCCTAATGTCCGGTCTGAACCTCCTCTGGGGCAGCTTTGAACCATTCCCATGCATTCTGTCAATGGATACCAGGGAGATGGTATCAGCACCTCCCTCTCCACTTCCCCTCCTCAGGAAGCTTTAGACAGCAATGAAGTTGCCCTGCAGCCTGCTTTTCTCCAAGCTAGACAACCTGTCCTCAGCTGCTCCTCATAGGACATTCCTTCTAGCCCTTCCACCAGCTTTGTAGCCCTCCTCTGGATGCATTCAAGTACCTTCAAATCCTTCTTAAATTGTAGGGCCCAGAACTGCACACAGAACTCTGGGTGAGGCTGCACCAACACTGAATACAGCAGGATAATCACCTGTCCTGAGTGACTGGTGATGCTGTGTTTGATGCACCCCAGGATGGGATTTGCCCTCTGGGCTGCCAGGGCTCCCTGCCAACTCCCACTGTCCATCAGCACCCCCAGACACCTTTCTGCAGGTTGCTCTCCAGCCACTCCTCTCTCACTTTATTCTTGCGCCTCCATCCTAGGTGCTTCCATCCTAGTCCGCTATCATCAGTAAACTTGCTAGTGGTGCATTCAGCAACACATGATACACACACACACACACACACACACACATATATATGTATATATACACACACACACATATTGAACAGAACTGGCCCTACAACTGAACCCAAAGGAACACCACTGGTGACCAGCCATCAGCCAGCTGTAGCCCCATTCACTACAACCCTTTGACCTCTGGCTTTTGGCCAGTTCTTCACCCAGTCCATCACAAATCCACTCATTCCCTGGATGGACAACTTGTCCAAAAACATGCTGAAGGACAGTACCAAAAGCCCCTCACTAAAATCCTGAAAAAGCTGCATCCACTGCCTTCCCTTCATCCACTAGGTAGGTGACCTATCAGAGTAGGATATCAAATCAGTTAAATGGGAATTCCCTTTTGTAAACCCATACTGACTGTTAAATATGACTGCATCATTCTTTAAATATCTTTCAATAGTACCCAGTTTAACCTTCTCCATAACTTTTCCAGAAACCAAGGTTAGATTAAAAGATCTGTAGTTCCTTGGGTCTTCCCTCATGCCTTTTTCTGTAGACTGGAATAACACTGGCAAGCTTCCAGTCAGCAGGACCTCCATAAACTTCCAAGACCTTTGATAGATGATGAAGAGAGGTCCTGCCATAACATTCCCTAGCTCCTTCAGAACTCTCAGATAAATCCCATTAGGCCCCTATGACATGTCTACATTCAGCTGATACAGCTGGTCCCTTACAAATTCAGTGTCCACAAATGTAAAATCACTGTTCCTACACTTGTGGTCCTCCAACTCAGGGGACTGGGCAGCCCAAGGTCTATTAGTAGCCAAGAAGAAATTTGTTTGGTTCTGTTCCAACAATAGGGGGTATCACTAAAGATTGAGATAAAAAGTGCATAGAATGGATCTGCTTTTTCTTCATTCCTGTTAGTCAGATGACCACCTTCACCAAGTATCAGTTCAATGTTTTCTTTAGATCTCCTCTTGCTGTTAACATTAAAAAAAAAAGCCCATCTTGTTACCTGAAACAACACTGGTCTATTTCAACTCTAAGTGAGCTTTGGCCTTTCGTGTCTTCTCCCTGTGTAAATGAACCCCAGCTCCGTACTCAGGTTCCTGAGAAGCCTAACCTTGCTTCCAGAGGTCATGGAGTTTCTTTTTCTTCCTGAGCTACACCAGGAGTTCCCTGTTCAGCCAAGCTGGTCTTCTGCTCTGATTGCTTGACATACAATACGATGGAATTGTCTGCTCCTGTGCTTCTGCACGGTGAATCTTAAAGATTGACCAGGACACTTGGACTCCCAAGCCCTTAAGAGCAGGTTCCCAGGGCACTCTGCTAAATAGTTCCCTGAATAGCATAAAATTTGCTCTCATGAAGTCCAAGGCAGCAACTCTGTCACCCTTTTTTGTCATTACAGTGAAAATTTAAAAATTAACCATTTCATGATCACTGTGGCCAAGACAGTCATCTACTGACTCATTCTTCATGAGTCCTTCTCTATTCACAAATAGCAAGTCCAGGAGGGCATCTTTCCTAGTTGGCTCACTGCGTACCCATGACAAGAAGCTATCTCCTACAAACTTCAAGAATTTCCAACCCTCATCACAGCAGTATGATATTCCCAGTTGATGTCTGGGAAGTTGAAATCTCCCATAAGGATAAGGGCTACTGATCCAGAGATTTCTCCTACTTGCCTATAGAATAATTCACTGGTGCTTACATCCTGGCTGGGCGATCAGTTGTAAACACCCTCTACAGTATCTCCTTTGTTTTCCATCCCCCTAATCTTCCCCCACAGGCTCTCTACCATATCATCATGAACTATAAGGGCTATGCAATCAACCTCTCCCTTATTTACAGTGCCATACCTCCCCCTCACTTGCCCTGCCTACTCTTCCTGAACAGCCTTCAGCCCTCCATGCCAGCACTCCAAACACGAAACTCATTCCACCAAGTCTCACTAGTACCAATGATATTGCAGCTTTGGGAGCTCACTAGTACCAACGTCTACTAGCACCACTAGTCTTGCTAGTACCAAGGATATTGCAGCTTTGGGAGCTGACCAATGCTTCCAGCTCTTCTTTTTTGCAAGACACATGCTAGCCCTTCGTTAACTGCTATGATCCTCCCTCTGCACACTGCAGCCAAGTCAGAGTTTGCAGAGATGCAGCTACTCCAGCCTGGATTGGCCACTGCAAGTGCTGTGGGCTAAGCCAGACTGATTCTGCAGAGGGATGATCTCAAGCCCAGAGAGCAGAGTAGCTGTCAAAGCATCATCTATTTTCCTGTTTGCACTGACAGTGGTGCGTTCTGTGTCTTCTCTGTTAC